GTCACTGACCCGCTTATAAGTCGGTGGTATTCTGCTAGAATCTGTAGCCAATTTCAGATAAACAATCTACTGTATTTATGAGCGTTTCAAAGTATATTTTGGGGGCATTTTAACAAGTACAAGATCATTTAATTCTCTAAATACTAGTGTTTTAATCCTTAGATCTTCATTTTCTGCATCAGATTAAGTTCCAACCTTTATGAACGAGTTGTTACAATACTATTAATTTTCTTCTTTAAGAAAAAAAAATATATTTTCTAGGACTCACCTATAAGTCGGACCTAGACTTTTATTCAAAATTCAACTCCCAGAAAGCCTACTTATATGGCATCATCTTAGCACATGTATTTAAATTTCAGTATTTGTGGTATCTGCAGAACTGTAGCGTTATGCTTTTATATTGTAGTCTTTAACCATGACGGTACAGATCCTTTTATGAAAATAATGCGCAATTTACGGCGCAAGATTTTCTGCGCACGGCTGGGGAGAATTTCTCCACTTTCCAGCATTGGTCAATCAAATACCTTACACGTACTGCCCAATTCTAGACACATTTTTAACCAATCTGTATATTTCACCTCCTTATCCCTTATAGTCGTCTCTACAGACCAATAAACTCGCTTGTTTTGATTTTTACTGCCATCCGACAAAAAAAAAAAAAAAAGAAAAAGATATACAAGTATATCATGCAAATCTAAGCATGCTACATTCGAAAAGAGTATGATTGTTCGATAGTTTTCTGAAAGGCGTTAAATCATTTCCCTTCCAATTTTATAATATAAAAGAAGACATTAAATGAAGGGTTGTTTTTTTTTACATATACAAAACAAATGTTTAAAAATCTTTTTTTTGACTTGATTTGAATTGCAAAATTTGAGAAAAATTCTAAGGTTCAAGTTTGCACTAATCTCAAATGAAATTAACCCGATCAAATCAACTCAAAATTAAAACAGCAAGTTTGTCATTCTGATGCAGTTAACAAGGAGAAATCAACTTGCTTAATAAGTTAAAATTGTTTGTAAATATATTGCAACCAAACAGTCTTTTTATTGTGAAATTGAAATTGTTGAATGTATTTCCAGTTGGGATCATTTAATTTACATCGGGTTAGGCTCGATTATAGCGATTTCTTTCAATCGAATCTTCTCGGGTCTTTCCGTCAGAGGTCGGAAAAACAATCCAATCTTCTCGGGTCTTTCCGTCAGAGGTCAGAAATGTATTAACATCATCGGATGTTAAAAATTTATACATCTTGCTGTTTATTCTGTGGTATATTTTAGGTAATATCTTTACATTCAATAAAGTTAAACTCCATGCTCCACAGATAAGAAGTCTTCCAACATTTATTTCAAAGTTTGTGAAAAGGGGGGTTGTCATGGCGTTTACGTAATACATTCGAGGTTGTTTTCTCCGCTAGTCGGAAAGGCCCGAGAAGTTGCGATCGCGATTTCTTTTTAAATCCTTTCTCTGACATGTTAATTTTAAATTTACCGTTTGGGAGTACATGTAAATACAAAATTTAGAACACGACAGCTGTTGTCATGTTGTAATGTTTACTCCCACGTAGTAAATTCAAGATTTAGAACATGATATGATTGTAAACTATTTCTTTTATTTTTCTTGAACACTTTTTACACAGATTAAAAAAGTACATATTATTAAATTATTGTTTTCATACTCATTCATTATTTTGCGATAAAGTAAAAAGTCTCTGAAGGTACTTATTCTATGCATTTAAATTGATTCATTTATCTGAAAATTATCAGTGGAAAAGGTATATTGTAAAGTATATGTCCATGTGCATTGCCTATGTTCTTTTAAATAAAAAAAGCATTTTGCATATACTTTTTGTTCGCCTGACCACTGCACCATGACCTGTCACCACTGTAGGATCGATCCCGATGTTCATTCTTCTTAGCACATTAAAAATACATATTCTTGATGCAGCGTATTTGTTGATTCACTGGTATATTTTTCATTTTACGATCTTGTCCTGAGAGTACATTTCTTAATTTAAATTCAAACTCCTTTCTCAGCAGTAAATTATATTAATTATACTTTCCAAAACTATACATTCTAAACATACTCGAAGTATTTAAACTGTAAATTTTATTTTGAAAATACATTAAATACGCCAAAGAGGGATGAAAATTACAAGAAAATTCACAAATTGAAATGTATAAGATCCAAAGTATCCAGTTTTATCAGAAGGGGGAGGGGGTGCTGATAAAATATCTCACCAGAAAAGATCTGTTAGAAATGAAAAATATAGGGAAAAAATAATAATAAAAAAATCACATATTCACACAAAAAACAATGCATGACAAGATCCCGGTTTGGGGGGGGGGGGGGGATGATTTTTTTTTTATCATTAAAGGTTGCAACTGCAACGCTTAATGATACACTAGTGTGTATCATTAGTCGTCAATTATGTCGATATTTGCTTGTTTCATTAAGCGTCAGTGTTGCTCTGCATTTGTGACGCTTAATGATATAATTCTATCATTAAGCGGTGATTTAGCATTAGCAGTTGAGAATGTCAGCTATTAATGCAATAATTTATGGCATTAAGAGTTGCAATTGCAACGCTTAATGATATTTGTATCATTAAGCGGCGTTTTATCATTAGAGGTTGCTACAAAGGTGCCTACAGGTTTCTCAAATTTGAGAAATAAATTCCTTTAATGATGCTTTATAACTTTAGCTTGGTCAAATAAGGTGTTTCGGGGCATAATTTGTAGATGAACAAGACGAAAAACCATATTTTAAACTGTCATTTTCAATGAAAAATTAAGAAAACCAGTCATGAATACGGGAGTTTTTTCCATATCAGACAAAGGAAATATATCCAGATTGCCTACAGTCTCTCAGAAAATGATAATTTGTATGTTCTTGGCCTCTTCTTTAAAATGATATTAAATTGAATATAGGTATCGGGATTACTTTTCACATGATTTCAAATTGAATTCCACGAAAATAGTTCATTTTCACATAACTCTATTAGAGCCGTAAAGTACGGGAAAAAGAAAGTTAGAATTGATTATGACGTCATAATGGATCTAGCACCAAAAAGTTAGTCTAAAGTCATTTACTAGATCTTGACCTTAAAAACAATATGTACCATTTTTTAATGAATAAAAGTTAATGCTATCTGATTTTTTTTTTTTTAAAAAAATAGCACTTTCTCCTTTTAAGGAAGTACTTTAAGACATGAATGAAAATTTCAGACTATAAAGGGGACCCAAAAAATGTAAATTATACACGCATTAAATATTTTTTTTTGAAAGATGTATTTTCATAAAATCGCTCAGATTGTTTGCACACGCCGCACATCTATTTAAAAGGTATTAATTAAAGGCAATTTAAAAGCATATCTTGTACATATCTCGAAACGTAAATACGAATATTACCCGTAAAATTAGTTTAAAAGGTCTTGCTATTGAAGAATTTCAATGGATAAATACCTGTAGACACTACGGTGGGATTTTTCTGCCACCTAAATGTAAGTTTTTCTATAGATTATGTCGACATGAAAGATAATTATGCTGACATGCAATATAAACATATAACATACCTATGTTAAAATGCAAGAAAAATGTGATACATGACATTGGAAAATTTCAAAAATTATCAAATAGTGCCCACTTCCAACATGCTAGGTGCAACTTATTTATGTCAGCATACAACTCATTCAAATCGACATTTACCTTATTCATGTTGACATGCGAAATGAATATATTGAAATGCATTTATGTTGACATGCAACTTATTTGTGTTGACATGCAAAATTATTTATGTTGATATAAAACTTATTTATGTCGACATACAACTTAATCATGTGGTCATTTAACGTATCTTACATGTCAACATGAATACGTTGCGTGTGAACATAAATAAGTTGTATGTCATGACATTATCTCGCATGTGAACATAAATAAGTTGCATGTCTTGATATTATCTCGCATGTGAACATAAATAAGTTGCATGCCATGATATTATCTCGCATTTCAACAAAAATAAGTTGCATGTCATGATATTATCTCGCATGTGAACATAAATAAGTTGCATGCCATGATATTATCTCGCATTTCAACAAAAATAAGTTGCATGTCATGATATTATCTCGCATTTCAACATAAATAAGTTGCATGTCATGATATTATCTCGCATTTCAACAAAAATAAGTTGCATGTCATGATATTATCTCGCATGTGAACATAAATAAGTTGAATGGAACATTAATCAGTTGCAAGTCAACATATCACTTGATAGAGATATTTGATAATTTTTGAAAATTTTCAAAATTTTGTTGTAATTATATTTTTCTTGTATGTCATCATAGTTATGTTGCGTGTTGACATATTCATGTTGCATAATGACTTAATTATCTCACATGTCGACACAATATTTTGAAAATTAGCTTGCATATAGGAGGCAGAAATATGCCACCATATGAAACAGGTAGAGGTCTAGCAAAAAGAAAATAGAATTTGAATAGCAAAAATATGATTGTTATATATAGCATATTATCATAACGGAAATGCTTATGAATTTAAGAGTTTAAGAAACTTGTATTATGCAAAATATTATCATTTATCAAAAATCAATTAAGTATTTATCAAAATATATCTGAGAAAATCAGCTCTTCTGATTAGAACCCTTTCTCCTTTCTCCCTCAAGCGATTGTATTTTTAAATTGCTTGCGTGTAATATTTTTACCTGTGCAAATTTCTGTTCTGCATACAATTTCTGTATTTCAAAATGTTTGCAAAATAGGGGCAACCCAGTTGCATACAGACCTGGTTTTATTATGTTGCTCATGTGCGCACAGCTCAGACTCTACTCTTTGTTGGTGTGCATTGTATAACATAAACACATTATTGGAACAAGAAGAAAATAAACAGTAAATAAAAAGGAACAAACAAATGAACAGTATTGTAAGTGCCCTCATACCTTGGAAAAGGCGGGACAAATGAACAGTATTGTTAGTGCCCTCATACCTTGGAAAAGGCGGCGTTTGGAAATTTTTCCCACTCTAAGACAGTCTCTTCCCCCGGGTTACCTTGCTTCTGACCTTTATAAATCCGGGCAGCATTAATTGTGGAAATACCCAATCCATCCCCTATGAACACGATAACATTTTTGGCAAATCCTGTGTTAGGTTTGATTTTGAGGGCGTTGTCAAGTTCATCTTTAGCCATCTTTGTCCAGTCCTCGGATCTCCCACCTATAAAAGAGCATAGAAGAATAACAACCAATCAACCAAAAAACAAACACGATTTTTCAAGTATCTTACTTTATACTACATAAAGAACACATTTTCTTTATGTCAATAATTGTTTTGCATTACAATAACATGCAGCTACTACAAATAATTTGCACGATTTCGATTTTGAAAATTACCAAATCACTTACCATAAATTAAAGCAAAAAACACTAGAATGCTCCTTAACCACATTTCCAACTTCTGATGTTTAAGAGCCTGCTAACGGTCTACCCCAATTCATGCAAATATTCAGAACTTCTTATTACAGCCAATAATATTTATAGTTTTTACACCCGAGTGAATACCCGCGTAAAGTCTGTTTAAATCACCTGCAAAGAACCTTGATTCTATAAGTAATGTTGACTAAGAACATCTTTCAATTCCGAAGTGTGACCGAAAGGTCAATGGCAGTTGGTCATCAAAAGCTATTTCTCTTAAACACCAAATTATTGTTCGACCTGAGTAACTGACTCCGTAATTAACCTTCTACACCCTCAGGCGAGTCCAGATGGTCAGTATAGGGATATGCAAACAGACAACAATTTAGATAAAATCAGGAAATGGGTAAGAAGAAGTAAATACTCAAAGTAAGTATGCATGAGTTGTACAATTTGACGTTATACATGATAGAATTAAGCTTCTATACATACCACCAGATTCTGATTGATGTGCAAAATAATAATTTTTTCATTTCTTGCAAATTAGAAGGGAAAGATATGTATTTATATCTAAATTATGGAAAATTTATATAGATTGCAAGCATTCATAAGAGAAATGGCCATATGTTGCCATATATTTATTTCTGAATTACGCAGCTTTGCGATCTTGATAAAGTATATTTTCAGTTTACAAAAGTAAAGTTATCAAGCGATTCCAATATGATTAGTAATTACTACAGGTATTAGATCAAAATAATAAAAGTACTGAGAAAAGCTAAGCCCCCCCCCCCCCAAGTTAGTAAGTTAATTCACTCTAAGAATAGTTTATCAGATTTTACATCAGCAAAATAAATCTATTGATAATAAATAAGTCTGTTGATAAGAAATATTGAATAAAATATAATAATATTTTTTTAAAAAAAAAATAAAAGAATTAAAGTATTTCAAAACCCTGGTGGTGGTGGTGGTGGTGGTGGTGGGGGGGGGTGACCGGTGGGGGAAGCTGACGAATTCTTACAAATAAGAGATGTTTTTTCCTTGATTTTTGGATAATGGACATATAAGTTCTACATGCAAAAAATTCAAACGGGGGGGGGGGGGGGGGCGCCGGCCCTGGATCCGCCTTTGGCCTGTGCTATTTCAGTAAAAGTTAGAGTCCATATCCAAACAGCGTTTTAGCCTTTATTGTAGATCTGACAGAATTTTCATACAGATCGGTGATATCGAGACGGGTGTCCGATTCCGACTGATCATGCAAAGCAAATTCAACAGTATATAAAACAATTATTGTGTAACATGTGTAAAAATGACATTTGAAGGCATAGATAAAAGCTGTGACACTTGAGTAAATTTCTCAATTATTTAGTTTTCTTATTTATTCCCCCTTGAACTGTTATGCCTTGGAGTGATTTAAACAAAAAATAAGATGACAGGTAAGGTAAACCAATTAACTGGAACTCTTTAGAACTCATCATTTATATTAACAGGAAATAAAATAAAAATGATAGTAGTATTGCCGCGACTGACCTAAGTCGATGAAAAATAGGTAGCAACTGTTCCTTCGCCAAGCGCTCGGCACTTTGAAGAGAAAGTTGAAGGTCCATCGGATGAGATCTTAAAAACCGAGGCCCCGTGTCACGGTAGGCTTTGCCCTGAGTGCCGAGTAAAGGTCTAAATCTGAAGCCCTTCACCGGTATATGGTGACGTCTCTATATGAGTGAAAAATTCTCGAATGGGATGTAAAACAACATACAATCAATCAACCAATCTTAACAAAATGTTCATGTTTGGAAAAAAGGCCTTAATTCTAACAAGACACCTTTGCTGTAAATGAAATTAAACCTGAGATAACTTCATTCTTCCACTTTTACCCCAACGTTTTCTACCTGATTCAACAAAATACTATAACCATATATACATGTTTATATATTACCAACGGTTAATTAATTGACCTGTGATAAATGTTTTTTACTTCTCGTATATATAATACACACTACAAATTTATTATCATGTGTTATCATGTGTTATCATGTGTTATCGTCATGTTTCGTGATCTAGTATTCGTGACACACGTGGGTCTTATCTTTCTTTCCTAACATACTGTTTAGTAATAGATCGTCTTCAATATGGCTCTTTTAAAGTTTCTGGCACCGATATTACTTTTTTCAGGTTTGTATTTATTTCAAACGGAGTTTTCTCCCCCTTTTATAAATGCTTTTAAAAATTATTTTTAAGCTATTGTTTGAAAGAAAGACTTATATACAAATGGAACAAATACAAATTATTGAGATATGTGTCAATTTGTTTACAGTGTGTAGTGCCCAGTTCTTCAATTTTAACACATGTTCCAGCATCCTTAGAGAAGATTGCTTCAAGTATGGCAATGACCCACAATGTGGCTCCAATGCAGTCACCTACAGAAACAGGTTTAATTAGTAATTAAATGATGATAAATCTTGAAAAGAAGATGGGCGTATTTGGCGTGTGAACTGAAGGAATTATATGTATGAAATAGTTATAGTTTAAATGTCTACGGCTGACCACAGCTAAACAGACTTTATAAAGTTACGCATATAGGAAAATGTTACATTTAGTTTAGAACACCTTGTCATAATTAGTCTGGTTATCTTAATACTTACTATAACGTAGTAACGCTTCATAAATAATAAATACCTATTTATAAGACAATAGGGTATAGTTAAATTCAATTTCAAGCACATGTGTATACTACAGTTTCAGTAGATTGGAAGTATTGCTTTCGATGTCAGTGCAACTGAATCAAAATTTATCTATTTAAAAATTTTGATAAATTAGTATACATAAAATTTATACTGACAAAAGAATTGATTGTTTGCAGAAAAAATAAACGCTCCGTGCGAGGATCGAACCAAAACTTTTCAATTTCAGTGCACTTCATGAGTAATGCAATCTGCTGACCTTTCATCGCTACACACGAAATATGTATTTTAAAACGACAATGAACCAAAAGCTTTTACACAATGATATTTTTGGTAAAGGTTGATTTTTATGGTCTCTGGGTTTCTTTAAATTAAAATGCACAAAAATAACGTTTCAAAATCATGGAGAGATGACACTAAGACAGCAAATAAAAAAAGCAAGGTGTGTTTGTGAAACACTGATGCCCCCGCATGACAGCTTATGGTGAAGGTTAAAATTTCTCAAATGCAAGCGAAACTTCAGGTCAAGAGATCAAAAATGCTGGTACCCAAAGAAAGGTCTTGTCTCGAGGAATATACCTGTGAAATTTGAAAGCCTTAGCACCAACTGTTCAAAAGTTATGGCGAAGACTAAAGTTTTTTAAAAGTAAGTAAAACGTCAAGGTCAAATGGGGGCCCAAGGGAAGGTCTTGTCACAAGTGATACACATATTCGTGAAATGTGAAAGCCCTAGAACCAAACGTTCACATGTTATGGCCAAGGTTAAAGTTATTTAAAAGTAGGTCAAACTCCAAGGTCAAGGTTAATGCCAAAATTGTTGGTATGCAAAGGAAGGTCTTGTCACAAGGAACGCACATGTGAAGAATGAAAGCCCTAGCCCCAAATGTTTAAAAGTTATGGCCAAGTTTTAAGTTTTTCAAAAGTAGATCAAACTCCAAGGTCAAGGTCAAAGGGTCAAAGTTGTTGATATCCAAAGGAAGGTCTTGTCACAAAAAATACACACGTGAAGTTTGAAAGCCCAAGGACCAACTGTTCAAAAGTTATGACCAAGGTTAAAGTCTCATAAAATTTTTTTTGCAAAAGTGGGTCAAACTCCAAGGTCAAGGTCAAATATGATGGTACCCAAAGAAAGGTCTTGTCACAGGGAATGCACATGTGAAGTAAGAAAGTCATAGCTCCAACAAATCAAAAGTTATGGGCAAGGTTAAAGTTTTTGCGGACAAACATACAGACAGACAAACAGACAGACGGACAGGGCAAAAACTATATACCCCCGACTCTTCGATACGGGGTCATAAAAACGTGTTTTAAAAATATAGCATTTTGTATCGCCAATTTTCAAGTTATTTTTTAGCAAATTAAAAACACAAAATCAATAATTCCCTTTCCTATTTCAAAGGAAGCTGATACATCAAAAGAATGTTAACATTTCATGTGACAGATAAATGAAAATTTTAAGTGCGCCCAGATTCCTGCCGAATGCCAATCAAATGCGCCCTTGTTCTTTAAGTGCCATTGTCTACCTTGGTATATGGCTTTGCTATACGTTGAAAAAAATGATTCACATTAAAATTTCCCGTTCAACACTTCGACTTATTTATAGAGCACAAAAAATTACTTTATATTCATAAAAAAATGGTGAATCTAGACTCTATTACACAAGTTGACTTACTGAAATATTTCATGGTAAAATGGAAAGACTTTGATACTGTTAATTACATTACAAGTTACATTACAGATGTGATTTCTCCAAAGCTCACTGTGAAGACAAAAATGTCCACATAGCCTCGCACTCCGCATGCCCAACCAGCACAAAGCCCCCTAGCGGTGCATCCACCATCGGTCCCTTACCCAGCACTCTGGCCCCTATACTACATGGCAGCGAGGCTGTCCTGGATTTCTTCTGTTTGAATTTAGCATTCAGACCCTGTGATGGAGGTCCAAACCCTGTGTGTGGCAATAACACAATTACGTACGAAAACCCGTAAGTTCTGTTAAATCAAACAATGTCACAATGTCTTACGTGTATATCTAAAAAAAAAACGCCTCGTTTAAAACACGTTTAGCTTTTAGGTGTTCACTGACTAAACTAGGGCTGGGACGATATATCGAGATATCGATAATATCGATTCAATGTTAGGATGATACGCATATCGATACGATATGAAGAAATATCGACATATCGTCCAAAAAATTCTGAATTATGTTTTTCTTTGTTTACTTGACATTTTGGGTTTAATATATAAAATTAATATGCTTAATATAAATATGAATATGAAATACATAATAATTAAGACCACTTGTGCAAAATAATTAAGTTTTACAACAGATATGCAACTTCTTTGGATAAATTATTCTTATTTGTGAAGAAATGTTTTGTTCATTTCAATATAAAAAAAGAATTTATAACAAATTAAACATATCGTGATACCTATCGTATCGTGGCTCAAATATCGGGATACGTATCGATATAGAAAAAGTTGTATCGTCCCAGCCCTAGACTAAACACTTCAACAAGTTTAGGCCCTAATCACCAAAGTAATGAATATAGCTGAAATTTAAAAGAAATGATTTTTTAATGGAAAAACTAAACATATCTATTGCTTAAAAATTCAGTCAGCATCACATATATCTTATACACTTAGATGTTTTTCTTTTTTAAATTTCAAAAGATGTCCTTGTTAAAAAGAAAATAGCAACTGATATAACAATAGCTGGAGATCTCTAGCTCGTTGGTCTGGAAAAAATGGGATGAACGACTAAAGAACTACAATGCCACTCATAGTTTATTATTACTGCGCACTTAAAAGTGCACTGTTCCTCTATTTCTTCTTATATTTAGGCTGCCATCTCAAAACTTGTGTTTCTTTTATTCTTTAACTACTTCCACTACAAAACTGTATGTACAAATTATGCACCCAAAATGACAGTATAAATAGGCGAAATTTTCGATGGTCTAAATTTCAGGCCAAGGAGGGCTATTATATAACAAATCGACAATCCTCGACAGACTTTGCTACCCTCCATACAAAGCTCGGAAGCGCTTGGTGGAGGAATATGCATCAAATCGATGCATTTCTCCGCCAGAACTATACCTTTTAACTCAAATAACTCACTGAAGTACTGATATTTATTGAATAAAAATGAGATATATTTTAAAATGATATATTTTTCACAATGAAAAAAAAAACAAAGTGATAATTTTCACTGAAAATAGCAAAAGTGCGGCAAAACTCTCGATTTTCTTTCCTTTTACGAAGAAAAAACTCACTGTTACCCACGAAATACGATTTTTCAGGTTTGAGACGTTGTTAATTACGGATTTTTTTTTGGTTGGTCAAAAATTATTTTAAGACTGATATTCGTTGATATTGACCCCCTCTCCCCGGAAAAAAAAATCCTGGATCCACCCCAGCATCTATTTCATATTTGGATGTTTTTCTGATTATAGACGATATGTTACTATTTATGTAGTAATATTCGCTATAATAGCAAATAGATCCTATCAAAGGGTCGTATTTTGACATATTTCATACTAAATTTGACTACGGAAGACATCTGTCTATCTGATCAATACATAGGGCTCACGGCGGGTGTGACCGATGGACAGGGGATGCTTACTCCTACTAGGCACCTAATCCCACCTTCGGAATTTCTGGAGGTCCATGTTTTATGCACTGTTCACAGATCTGCATTTTATTTTAGATCGATCATTATATACGTTATTTTCACCTTTTTTATGTATTAAAGTTCGTGCTTTGCACTCGTGAAAATATTTTTTAAAAACCTTTCCCACTCATGTAATAAATTTCATATCAAAGACATTGAATATCCTCTCTATGTCCTCATTTAAACATTTATATAACACACATATTTAGACATAAGCTTTAGTCGTCCAACAAAATATTAAACACCTTTAATAGATCAAAATACGTAAAGGACGTGTGTATAATACAGTGTATAGATAGAATATTGAACTTCACTAGCACTGTTAGATGTTGTATATGTAAACCATTTGCAGGAGTAAGAACTCATATTTATACTGTTCTGCAGCACGTAGATGACGTTTGGAAATCTTTTATTTTTTGTCTTGAAAATAAAAATCTCATTCATCTTTTTGGCGGGTTATTGTACTCAACAAATGACCTTAAAGTAGAAAATTTCAATTAATAATCATAATGGCCCCCTGCATTGAAAGAGCATCTAAAACTTTTTTGCACTAATGATGTTTGTATTACAGGTGCGAGTTCGAGAAATCAAGGTGTACACATCGCTCTCTGCATATTGTTCATTATGGAAACTGCAGCGGGGATCCTTTCAACCCCTGAATAAAATTTTTAAATTTACGCAAGCTTTTCTTGATTTTTAAAAGTTGCCCAGTTTACATTTTTGGAGATACTGATGCATCAAAAGTATGTAAAGTATGTATCTCGAAATCTGAAAGACATACGAGATAATCTTATTATAACCATTGAATCATAGATTCGAACATATTCAACTCTCACAAGTTTATTCAGGTACATATTTACTACAGGTGTTAAAGTAACAATTTTATTTTATTCTGGATCTAGTAACACCCAGGAAGACCAAAATGCACCTTAAGTATCACAAAGATCAAACCAGTCCCTTTGTTACACGATAATAACCCCGGTTTTTTTTCCAATAGACCCCTCTGATTACATCAGATAACCTTAAATTCACTCCAAGAGTCCCCTTGATAACACTGTAATAACCACGAATTCTCTTTTGCAGTCCCCCTGGTAACATGATAGTAAACCCTGAATTCTCTTCGGCAGCCACCCCCTTCCCCCTTATAACACGATCATAATTCAGAAATTTCTTTAGCAGTTTATTTTTGAAACATGATATTAACTCTGATTTCTCTCCTATAGTCTCCTTGGTAACATGTAAGTAACACTGAATTTCCCTAGCAGTCCCATTTGATAATAAGATAATAACCCTAAATTCTCTCAGGAAGTCCCATCTTGTAATTTTTTTACCAGCAGTTTCCACTGGTACCACAAAAATAACTTTTAAGTTCTCCCTGGTATCCCCCTTGTATCACAGTACATCTATATACTATGAATTCTCTTTGTCACTCTCTCCACCAGTCCACCATGGTAACTATGATTCCCTCCGGTGGTCTCCCTTAGCTAGTACACCAAAAAAATCTAGAAAATCTCCCAAGAGTCTCCCTGTCACACGATAACCCTGGATTTCATACGGAAGTCTCCTCTCCTTGACACAATAATAGCTACAAGTTCTTTTCGGCACTCCCTTCTGGTAACACAATAGTAATCTTAATTCTCTCCACTAGACTCCATTGTATCCCTGAATTCTTTTCAGTAATCCCCAGTTAACACGTAAGTGACACTGAATATCCCTAGCAGCCCCATATGGTAACACGATATTAATCCTGAATTCTATCTAACAGTCCCTACTTCTAACATGATGTTAATTGAATTCTCTCCGAATGTCTCTTTTTTTAACACGATAATAACCATGATTTTTCGTCGATAGTCCCCTGGAAGAACGTTAATAACACCAAATTCTCTCTATCAGTCACTTTGGTAACATGGTCATAACCCTGAGTTCTCCCCGGAAGTTCCCACTGATAAAACATGTAACCCTGAGTTCTCCCCGGAAGTTCCCACTGATTAAACATGTAACCCTGAGTTCTCCCCGGAAGTTCCCACTGATAAAACATGGAACCCTGAGTTCTCCCCGGAAGTTCCCACTGATAAAACATGGAACCCTGAGTTCTCCCCGGAAGTTCCTACTGATAAAACATGGAACCCTGAGTTCTCCCCGGAAGTTCCTACTGATAAAACATGGAACCCTGAGTTCTCCCCGGAAGTTCCTACTGATAAAACATGGAACCCTGAGTTTCCTCTTGTAGTTCCAGTAATACGATAATAACCATGAATTCTCTCTGACATTCCCCATTGAATCAACAAATAAATGTGAATTCTCTCAGGCAACCTCCCCTTGTAACACAATGATACGGCTTGAATTCTATCCCACAGAATCCCTCCTGAAAATATAATAATAACCCCTATTTACATATGCTCGTCCACAGTCCCCCTGGTAATTAATAGGGATGCCAATTTTGTTCAATTCGAAATTTCAATGAAAGTATTCGAATAAATTTGATAAAATAAATAAGATTGTGTTCATATTCAATATGCATCATCCTACCCTTATGACAGGTTTTGCGTCTGCATGAATTTTTCAATTAATATGCGTCAATGGTTAAAATACATGAAATATGGAGATAATGAGCAGTATTAAAGCTCAAAGTCCATTAAAACAATACAAATTGAGAGCAGAGCAAACACGGACCTCCAAAAACAGATGTGGGATCAGGTGCCATGGAGGGGTGAGCATATCCTGTCGACCGGTCACACCCATCGTTGCTCATTGCCATGCTCGGTAAGTAACGGAAAAATACGACCTACTGATAGGTTATATTTGCTTACAAGGTAATAATAAAGACCATAGAATTTACGAAATGCTGACTTTAAACGAGGTTGTTTGAAATTCCTGTAACATAAACTTATCTGTCAGTAGCCTGTCTCGGTTTAAAAATTGATGGTACTCGCAGCGTACTCTTGATTATCGAATAATTTAGGAGATGTAAACACCACATGCAGATGATAGCGGTATATTACTAAATAAATCAGGAAAGTTGGCGATGGAAAAGCTGTAGTCATACAATTTAATTGTAAGGATGCCCTTATCGTCTATAGTCAGTAAAACATTCAAATATGAATGTGTCTTATTTCAAGTTCACTGGGATATATATCGAGTCGACATATGAATGTAAGCAACTATTGTTAATTGTTGAAACGTCGTAAATATATGTAAATGTTGAGTTGAAGGCCACAGCAAGTGATTTCTTCTTCTCATATAGAAGTTTTTAAATAAATTCTGCTTCATAGAATCACAAAAACAGATCGGATAATAAAAGAGCACAATTAGACCCATAGGAATTCCAACAGTTTGTTGGAATACCTGGTCTCCGAAGACTACATAGATGTTGTCAATGAGGAACTCCAGCATCCTGTAATTATCAACTTCAGAATACTTTTGTGTAAAATCAGAGTGATTTTTAACAATTTAATTCTGTTGATGACCAATCACAAGATACGAAAATTTTCCACCTCCATTTTTATTGAAGAACAGTTGCCTATAATATCAGAAACCTAGTTTTTTTAATTTATCATGAGGAATGGTTGTATAAATTGTAGAAAAATTGTAGAAACCTTGCAATATATCTCTATTTTTAAGGATTTTTATGAAGTTTAGGAATCCAGTCTTGGTAGAATAGATAGAACTCACCTTGGTTGGCTGGAATGTCAAAAGTATTAAACACTGAAATTCGATGAATTCGATGAAGAATTTCATCTAGAAAGTGAACCGTGAGTATAAGTTGGATTTCCAGACATAGAATTAAAACCAAGTTGTTCTAAAATACAGTTTTAATAATAAGCCTTACAAAAAAAGACTATATTGTTATAATCCTTATAATCTGGAACAATAAAACGTTATTCATGTAGTCTTTCTAATTCTTTTATCACCTCCGATTTAGAGAAAATAGAAGGATAGATGGTTCGCATATACATTGCCTATGAATTTTTTTATACGATTCTTTAACATTTGATCCATTCTGACAAAGTGTTCAGATCAAGCTCAACGTCTGACATAATCATTGACAGAATTCCTAATAGAAATGAAGACTTTGTATCGATCGCAAATTGAAAGATCGGGGCTCCCTGTATTTAGTACCTTTTAAGATAATTGCTTTTAGGTCTTCATTGTCCCCCGCTTTCAATGAAAGTGGGGGATATTAATTTGGGTCAGTCTGTCCGTCCGTTCGTCCGTCCGGCCGTTCGTCCGTCTGTATTTCTGTCTGTCTGTAACACTTTCGTTTCTGCGCGATATCTCGGAACCCTTTGAGATTTCGCAATGAAATTTTGCATAGCAACTCCCTATAGCCTACAGAAGAACCCAATTGATTTTGAGGTCAAAAGGTCAAAGGTCAAGGTAAAAAATTCATAAATTCTGTTTGTTTTAACACTTTCGTTTCCGCGCGATATCTCGAGAATCCTTTGAGCTTTTGCAATGAAATTTTACATAGCAACTCCCTGTGTGCTAAGGAAGACTCCTATTGATTTTGAAGTCAATAGGTCAAAGTTCAAGGTCGTAAATTCATACATTCCGTCTGTGTGTAACACTTTCGTTTCCGGGCGATATCTCAAGAAGTTTTTGAGCTTTTGCAATGAAATTTTATACCATAACTCCCTATAGCCTCTCTCGCCCCTCTCAAAGTGTCTTGCCCCATTTTTATTGTATTAAAAGTCGCTTGGCACTATTTTTAGCACAGGGGCATGTGGAGAGTTATTACGTATAAAACAGGTTGTCGGCGGACTTTATATTCTAATTACATGTATTAGAATTGATTAATAAAGGCTAAATTAGACACCATGTATTGCGTAAAATTTTGACAATATCGAACGTGAATATAAACATTATATGTGACCTAATGTTTGTTTGCATTTAATTTGCTGTATAATCAAGTCCCTCGGTGGTCTAGAGGTATGATCCTTGCTTAGCAAGAGAGAGGTACCGGGTTCCAATCCCAGCCGATCCTTCTTCTTTTGAAATTTTTTTGGGGGATTTACTAAATGATTGTATTCAACATGTGAAATGAAAAAGTTATGACGTCTGGCGTGTACAAACTCATAAAATCATTATTACAGTGTGATAAATATTCTATATAAAAAGAATCTTCTACATGTATACACATATTAAAGAATAAGCAATCAAATCTTTATATCTATATTGGCATTTTTTATTTGCTTCAATATACATGTATACATTTAATAATTCTACATATCCAGGGGAGGGGTCCGACCCCCCCCCCCCAAACTGCGCATGCTCTTCTTTTTTCCCTGAGCGGGGGACACAAATTCTCTGAATTAGCTTGACATGTTGTCTACTGAATGGAGTACTCAAAGTAGGACTATAAGTTTGATGATATATTTGTTCCCCTCAAAATTCTAGCCCTCATTGAAAGAATAGAGTGGTCAGGCAAATTGAAATGTTTATGAAAATGTTTATGGACCCATGATTTATTTCAAACCTATGTCCCGACATTCACTTATTGAGTGATCTGTTTGTTTCCGAAATCAGTCCGCATAGAGTACACTCAATTCCATAGACAACGTTTGAAGTTCTATTGGTCAAATTTTCTCAATTTTTATTTTAAAAACTTTGTCCAGTAAGGCTGCCGAAAAAAGAACATCCGATCGTCTTATCAAGGGTAAATTAT